TTTTTCTTGTTCTGACATCGGGATCGAACACTAATCTCCATAGCAACGAGTACAAACAGGAAAATCTTCACAACACGCCAAAATCAAGGGGGGAATCTTCGTGAGTGGAGATCCATCCGTCAGAGAAAAAAAAAATTTTAATCCAAGTTGTGAAATAACACACCGGCGGCAAATTCAAACCCTTCTTCGCATTCCACCTACGATATACTGTCATGTCCACATGTATATATGTGAGACGTGCAGACAAAATGAGTTACTTCTCACAATCTACAAATGGAGATATTAGCCAAAAATCGAAACAAGGGCCAAATTTGTAGATTTTCTATTGATGTCATATAATTTAAGTATAACATGCCTTATATTATTTCATAATTTAAAATTTTTAAAACTTCACCTGTAAGCATGATGTAGCGATTTCCATAGGGCTCGAATAACTCATTTAGACAGCATCCTTCACATAATATAATTAATAAATATTGATGTTGTAGGACATCATCGGCACAATTAAAGTCATATCATTATTATAGGAGGCGGGCTGCTTCGACCCCCCCCCCCCTTTCACAGCGTCTGGTCCCACTGACAGGGATACAACAACGCCACAGCACACAGACAGACACAATTGGTGAACATAAAAAAATTTTAAAATATACATTATATATACGAAGACTACAGGGGAAATACGACGGTGATCACAAACTGAAAATCGTGAGGGTACCAATTTTGAACGCTTGTTGACTCATAACTGTACTTCTGTTCAACTGTTGGTTGATTATTGTTTTAGAGTTCCCATTCAACAACACTTAGCAATACGCCACCAGTCAAACAAATAGGAAGTTAAGAGTCCACAAGCTTTTAAAATTGGCACCCTCACGATTTCCAGTTTGTGACTACCGTCGTTTCCCCCCCTTGCTCTTCATACACGTATATCGCAACACGGAAGTCGAACTCATTTCCTCTGCAGCGTCGGTAGCCTAGTGGTTAGGATACCTGGCTCGTAATCGTAAGATTGTAAGTTCAGGGGGTTTGAGACTCCGCCCGGTACGAGTTTCCTTGAAAAAGACACTTCACACGACACTGACTTTTCGAATAAAATTTGACTCGAGCATACTATGGGAGACGTGCATTCAATTTGGAGCTCCTGCCTTTTAAATAGATCTAAGTGTTACACGTAGCAAAAGGGTATAAGCAGCGGATAAAAGTCAGTTACACGTAGCGTTAA